AAAAGTAAATTTGATCAGATTTCTTGTTGATTAATTTGAGGGGACGAGGAGGCAGTAAGCTACAATAAACTCAGATTCCTGCATGCTTTGATAAAGAAAACTTTAAAAGTATACCATTGTCAGCATAGCCTTTCATAGACGTTGTGGACATTGTTTTTCCCAAGAATTGTATTCACTACTCAGGTGTTGTGTAAAAGTATCCAGCTCACTATCTTTATGCTTTACAGATTCTTCCTGGAGTGAAAGTCATTATTGCACATACAGAGACCAAAGGACCACTTGGAGACTCTCATTTAGGAGAAGTAAGTAAACCTGGACAATAATGTAGAGTAGTGTATGTAAAGCTAAAATTAGTATAGGAAGTATTAAAAAGGCAGTCATGTTTATTGCTGTATGTGTCTCTGCTGGGAGGAATTCACGCTGTCAACCTGTAGTGGAACCCAAACATAGAAAGTAGAAATCTTCAGATAGAGACAGCAATGTAAGAGGAGATTTCTACAGGCTTTGGAGACATTTCCTCATACATCTGATTGTGTTTCTGGGATTGGAAGTGTAAGGGAAATCTCCCCAACAGGACACAGCAAAAAAAAAAAAAAAAAAAAAAAGAACAGGAATATTAATTATTCCCTAAGCTAAAAGCTAAAGTTTTTTTGTTTTTTTTTTCCGCTCTCTCTTTTAAAAAATAATGTCATTCTTGTTTCCAACAGGTGTGGTGTGAGCAGCCCACATAATGCCAATGGTTATTACACTGTATATGGTGAGGAGGCCTTGCATGCTGATCACTTTAATGCACGGCTCAGCTTCGGGGACACTCAGACTGTGTGGGCTCGGACAGGATATCTTGGATTTCTCAGAAGAACAGAGTTAACTGATGCCAGTGGAGGTAATGAAGTTAGAAAATTAGGATTTGTTTGGAGACTCTCTTGAACTCCTACAACCACCATCCAGCATGGTTCTTCTATTGTTATTCAGTTGTTTTAACTAGTTCCACTGAGCATCTCTGAGATGCTTAGCCTCAGCAGTTGTTAGTTTCAGTGTGTATCCAAGGCCAGGCTACAAGTGCAAGCATCTAGATGCTTTACCCCCCGGTCACATCAAGCCCAACTTTGAAATCATGCGACTTACAGTTAAGTTGCACGATTTCAAAGTCGGGGGACATGCCAATTTCAGGTGCGATTTGCAAGACATCTGACACAGATGTCTATGCAAATCGCACCAAAAGTAGTACGTATACTACTTCAGAAATTTGTGCGGCTCCGACAGAGTTGGAACCGCACCAATTTGACTGCTCTAATTGTGGACAATAGGGTGCAATTGGCATATGATTTGCAAATCGCATGCCCAGCTGCACCTGATGTGACCGGGGTGTTAGAGCTGATCAGCCGTGATTTTCTCTGTGGTATGTACACCTCTGCTAGTCAGCAGTAGGGGTCTGATCAGACAGTTTTGCGAGCTTTACTAGGAAAACCTCCAGCTTACAACATCCAGGATTTGTGTTATTAGTTTAGTGGAGATTCCGGTTTTAAAGCTGAACACCAGACAACATGATAAATATGCAACTAAAATACCCAACATGAGCTGATTTAACTATCAAATTTTTTTGATTGCTGTTGTGATCCCTGCCAGACAGCAGAACCATATTCTCAATATACACTGTAGCAGCACAGATTGGTCAAGAACACACCTTCAGCCAATGTTATCACTTGACTCGCTCTTGTGTTTCTTCCTGTCAGCATATGCACTGCAAGAGGGCTTGACTGGCTCCTACTAGTCCACAGCCAGGTGCCATTCTTCTTCATCTTTATCTGTGGCTGGAGTTCAGCTTTAAGAATATAACAATAGGATTTGCCAAAAACAGCCAGATCATTTTAAATCAATTAGAAAATTGAAAGATTTCTTGATCGCTTTGCCTGTGATAAATGTATGATATAAATCTGCAATCATGGTACTACTAAACTTTTCTGGACAAAGTAGAAGTGCAATTACAAAAAGACTGTATAGATTGCCTTCAAAGAGAAATTCATTATCATTTACACTGTTCTTTTCCTAGAGAGGCACGATGCTTTGTATGTGGTTGGTTCTCTTGATGAGACATTGGAATTACGGGGTATGAGATACCATCCCATTGATATAGAAACATCTGTGATTCGATCTCACAAAAATATTGCTGAATGGTGAGTTTGCTTTTAATTACATAAATAGGTTCTCAATCAGCATGATGTGATAAGCATTTTTTTTTGGCCCACTTCACTTACTGTGTTCTTTTCTGGTCTATTCAGTGCCGTCTTCACATGGACAAACCTGTTGGTGGTTGTATTAGAGCTGGATGGGCCAGAGCAGGAGGCCCTGGACCTGGTGGCTCTTGTGACAAATGTAGTCTTGGAGGAGCACTACCTGATTGTAGGTGTCGTGGTCATAGTGGACCCAGGTGTCATTCCTATCAACTCTCGAGGAGAGAAGCAACGCATGCACCTTAGAGATGGATTTCTTGCTGATCAGCTTGATCCTATATACGTGGCATATAACATGTGAAATGATGGTGATAAGTTGCTTCTTGCCTGACCCTTGACACACTGGGTACTGGGGAATGAAAGAGAGGAGACTATTACTTCCATTATTCGAGGTGCTGGATTGCTGCTGTCTTCCTTCTCAGGCGATGTGTCTTCCCACCACCCAGGAATGTTCCAAGTCACAGAGAGAGGATGGGGCCTTTAATTGCCAAGAAATGTCAAGAGGAGAATGTACCTAGAGAATATTTGCCTCTTACTGTGACACTGGATGTAGCTTCCTCTCCCCTCTTCAACGCTGTTCTTTGTGCAGCAATACATTCTGCCCCATGTTGTGTCGCCTTACAAGAGCCCAATTTCATGCAATAATGTGAATCTCCGGATTTCTTGAATCTGAGCACATACATTTTTTTTAATATATGTAATTCATGGGGGTGATCATGCCTTCCTCCCCTGAGCCAAGGTGGACCTGTCCAAAGTGTGAATGTTCACCAGCCCTAAGTGAGCTGCTACTTCACTTCTCATCACTGAACTGAATGTAATTATGTACATAAACAGTATAATTTATTAAGTGCATCAGGCTAATGGATATGCCCTTGTGGTCAGGAAGATGAGGGGGAGAGACCCACTTCAATTTTTAAACACTGTAGTTTTTATAGCAAAAAAAAAAAGAAAACAAAAAAAATCATTAAGCACTAAGGAGCCCGACAGTTACCTGTGATATTACAAAAAGATAAAAAGCACATTAAACATTTTAAAAAGGTGTTTTGTGTTACTTTTTGTATTTCATCTCTTGCAGTGCATGGTGAGTATGCGTCCACCCAAAAAAGAAAATTCTGGACCGAAACCAAAAATTCAGGATGCACTTGGCTGAAAACCGAAATGGGCAGTTTTTAAAAAATATATTTTTATATATAAAATTATATTTGACTTTTTAATTCAGATGAATTTAAAAAAAAAATACAATCCAGTAATTTAAAATAACTTTTATTGAAAGTAACACAAAAATTGGACAGAAAATGAAATGTGTGTGTGATAGATATATATAGATATAGATATATATAGATATAGATATATATATATATATATATATATATATATATATATATATAGATAGATAGATTAAAAAACCTAGTGCTGCTAAAGCCTTAAGGTTTTTTTTCTCACTTTAATGCATTCTATGTATTAAGGTGAAAAACCTTCTGTGCTACAGGATACAGCACTAAAGAATAGTTTATTGGATGAAGTGAAATCATAATGTTACCATTGATAACAATCTATGTTCTATATCAAGCAGTGGTGATACCTATACCCAATGCATTCTACAGCTAACTATGGGGAATTTAGCAGGGGCTGGAACCGACACTAATCTCATAGTCAGTCAAGCTAATTATGCCACAAGGGTGATCGCTGGATTCTCAAAGGTTTTTGAAAAACAAAAACGAGTTCATTGTTTTAACAACCTACTTATCGTTCAAATGAAAGCAGTATTAAACTGAAAACCAAAAATGTAACATAGTGCTGCTTAGCAATCATTGGTGTGGTGGCTGCATCGGTTTTATTTTCGTAGGCTTTTTTCACTTGGTGATCTGGCCAGTTCCACACCTGCATTGTTTATTTTTATAGAATATACACATGCTCTACCTTGCCAAAAGTATTGGGATGCCTGCCTTTACATGCACATGAACTTTAATGGCACCCAGTCTTAGTCCGTAGGGTTCATTATTAAGTTGGCCCACCCTTTTCAGCTATAACCGCTTCAACTCTTCTGGGAAGGTTGTCCACAAGGTTTAGGAGTGTGCCTATGGGAATGTTTGACTATTCTTCCAGAACCACATTTATGAGGTCAGGCACTGATGTCGGACGAGAAGGCCTGGCTCAGTCTCTAATTCATCCCAAAGCTGTTCTATCGGGTTGAGGTCAGGACTCTGTGCAGGTCAGTCATGTTCCTCCACCCCAAACTTGCTCATCCATGTCTTTATGGACCTTGCTTTGTGTACTGGTGCGCAGTCATGTTGGAACAGGAAGGGGCCATCCCCAAACTGGTCCCACAAAGTTGGGAGCATGAAGTTGTCCAAAATGTCTTGGTATGTTGGTGCTTTAAGAGTTCTCTTCACTGGAACTAAGGGGCCAAAAACAACCCCACACTATAGTGTAGTGTAAAGTTTGGAGATCTTTAGCTATTGACTCTGCAGGCATTATGTGATATCTGTGCACTTCCGCATGCGCTGACTCGTTTTGTCATTTTATGTGGCCTACCACTTTGTGGCTGAGTTGCTGTTCTTCCCAGTTGCTTCCACTTTGTTATAATACCACTAACAGGTAACTGTACTAGCAAGGAAATTTCACAGATGGACTGGTGACTAAATTGCACAGGTAGCAACCTATCATAGTACCATACTGGAATTCACTGAGCTCCTGAGAGTGACCCATTCTTTCACAAAGGTTTGTAGAAGCAGTCTGCATGATTTTTACACCTGTGGCCATGGAGATTATTGGAACACCTGAATCCAGTGATTTGGCGGGGTGTCCTTACAGGGGCCAACTTTGAAAATAAGTATTGTCTGAAGGGAGGAGATTGATTGTTTATATGTACTAGCAGATTTAGATATACAAATTGAAGCCAAACCCACCTAATACTGTATAAATAGTTACAGCAAACTGTTTTTTTTTTTTTTTCCCTTTTGGGTTAAAGATTTCACATAAATAATAGCTGATCCTTGTAAGATCACAAGATGAAAATAAAAGAAAGCTTAAAAAATGAAAATAAATGCAGCCACTACATCTAAGAATTGGTGAGCTGCAATATAATACATCAGTGCTTGACAATTCCAAGATGCCTGGGCCCCAGCCGGCCCACACTGCCCTGTTCTCCCCCACCCCAGATCTGGCTCCTCTCCCCTGTCCCGCTGAGTGGAGCCCAGCTTTCTGGGACCCCAAGAGTTCCCCCCCCCCCCAAAGGACACTGCAGGCCTTCCCCGCTGCTCCCTCTTGTCATGCTACCAACCCCCCCCACACTTTTTTTTTTTTTTTTTTTTTTAAGCTGGCTCCTAGATTCAAAGCTAATTTGTCAAGCCCTGTAATAAATGGTTGCTTTTGGATTTAATACCACATCAAGCTGCATTTAGGTTGGCAGACATGGAAAGAGATATTGGGACTATTAGGCCTCTTTCACATGGTCATCGTCCATTCAACCACGTTTAAAAAACAAATGGATTCAGTTTGCACATCTATCTTCAGTTTATTTCAGTCTACATCAGTTTTTGCCTCCTTTTTTTCTTAGTTGTTGCAGAGATCAAAAGTATAAACAAAAAAATGTTTCTTGCCTCTAAACGGAACAGATAGCATCCATCCCAATAGATCTGGATATTTGCTGTTCTGTTTAAAAAAAATGGACTGGGACATAGGTGGATATTAACAGCTGACCATCAGTTTACATACATCCACCCAACCATAGGCTTACATTGTGGTTCAGTCTGGATTCCTCTAAAAAAAACAATTGACAGATGGATCTAGAGTGGATGCCCAAGTGAAAGAGGCCTCAGTTTCACACCACAGCTGTTCCGTTATATACTGTCTGTCATTACCTGCCAGGTAATATATTTGAAACTTAAGTCTAACTTGGTTTGTGTCTTCTTGTTCATATAAACTGCTGCAGCGCCTTTCATGGAAAGAAATTTATCTCCACATTGGAAATATCTTGCAGCCAACCTATCATCAAAAGAAACATAGAATATTACTAACTCAGTGCAGCATTGAGAGTGGGCATATGTCTGAAGGGACAAACATATTGCTGATAACAGCTGATCAGTGTCCTCCCTTTTCATGCATGAGAGAATGTTGTTGCTGGGGGCAACCCAGAAAATGCTCCTTTCAGACATTTTCATGCAAAATTCATCATGGTGTAAAGTACTCACATTGTGTGCCGTTGTCGCTGCTTCTCCAGTCACAGACCAGTTGAGTGTGACAGATAAGTGACGTCTCCAAAAAGGATTCCTGTTAAATACTGCAGAGCCCTCAACCCAGTCTCCTCTGTGACTCTGTATCGGTTCATCCAGCATAAAGAGTGTGTGTTTCCAGTGAGTGAGCCTTAGAGAATAAAAATATACCTGATATAAAGCATGCATTAAAAAATGTGGGGGCTTGGAGTACAGAAATCTAACTACAATAAAATAGGGACCTATACACTTCACATGTAATTAGAGGACATGTGCGAGGTATATTTATACAGCATTGAATCAGACAAACATTCTCTGCAGCAGGTCAATCTTCCAGGTGAATGTTTCTGAAAGTCACATTCAGTGCTTTATAAAAAAAAAAAAAAAGCCTCATTGACTGCTGTCATTCTCAAGTATCTATATTCATTGACATATTGGAAACACTTAAAATTAAGCATGTAGTTAGACATGTATCCAGCTATTTGCAAATTGTTACTTGGTACTGACACCTACAAAAACAGTAACCATCACTTCCAAAGCAAGTCTGCATGTTGCTTTAGTACACACATCTAGGATTCGTCATTCCTCATTATGCCACTTACAGGCAAGATATTGCCTCCCTTTTAGACTGTAGTAGGTAGTTTGAAACTAGCAGCACATTGAGATTAAAAAGGATTTACAAGAACAATTAATAACTCTTTGCTGTGCTGATGGGCTTTCAGTTACTAGAAGGAAGTGGGCTGAGGTAAACACCAGGAAGCTAAAGTTTGAACATAAAGATACAGCCAGTAACTACTTCAAGACTGGACTGTTTCACCCCCTTCCTGCGCAGTCCATTTTTCAGCACTGTTACACTTTGAATGATACTTAGTCATGCAACACAGTACCCAAATTCATTTTACATAATTCTGTTGACATGGGTTTCTTTTGGTGGTGTTTATTCACCACTTTTTTTTCCTATATAAAGAAAATAAAAAATGGAAAACTTTTTTTTAATTTTCAAAGTTTCCATTAATAAAATCTGCAAGTAAATAATTGGCCTTCATAAATTTCAGCCACAATGTATCCTGCTACATTTCTTTGCTTAAAATAACACAAATTAGTGTGTATTATTTGGTCTTTGTGAAAGTTAGAGTCTACAAAATATGGTATATATATATTTAAATATTAAACAGTCCTGATTGAACTGCCCATCTCATCCCCCCACCCCTTTTCGGATAATACAGTCCAAAGTATTTGTCTGGTGAGTTTTTTAAATTGTAATTTGGCACAGTTTTTGGGAAAATGAAGAAATGAAATAAAATGTGTTTTTTATATTCCCCCCACAAAGTTGTCATTTTAACATATTTCTTACACACAGCATAGGCACATTTACATCCAAAAACGTATTTTGCTACTCCTCCTGAGTATGGCCATACTACATCTGTAAGACCCTTTCACTGCCTAACCACACAGAAGGGTCCAAAATTCAATAAGCACGTTCAGGCATCCCAGGGGGCACAAATTATGCATCCAATTTTCCTGACTATCCCATCACAATTTTGGAGGCCCTGCAGCAACAGGACAATGCAAACACCCATAGAAGGTGAATAAAGACCCTGAGGTATTTTTTAAGAGGCATAGTGAGTCTTTTGAAGACTTCAATTTCCTTTCTGCATTTTTCAAAAACGTGTGGCCAAAAAAAATTATTATTTTTTTTTTATTCACACAAAGTTCAATAAGATATTTTTTAACCCACAGCATAGGCATACTTAGAATTACACCCCAAAACACATTCTGCATCTTCTTTTGAGCATAGTGATACCAACGGTGTGGGAATTTTTCAAATGTTTTGACTGATTATGTACCAGACATTTTACCTTGTGTATCACACAAACCAAAAATGTACTGTAATGGTTGCTTCTATATAAGCGGTCAGGGAATATAGCTTAGCATTGTGCCACTTATGTCAGTCCCCATTCCTATGCGCCAAGCAAGCTTGGCTTACTGGTTTGAAGCTTTCCAGGCCCAGAGCAGTGGCACAGCCTCGTATGACCCAGTCTCTGAAGACTACTTTATGGCCTGGCATCAATCAACATTCCAAAGCTTCACGCTATTTGCTTGTCCATACAATGCTGGATTTATTCTATGCCATGACAGCATTCTGCCTATCCTTACAGCTTAAGACTGGTCCAAGTGGATGTGTTAAAAGCCAGACGTTCACTTCCAAAGTGCAAGGAAAGAAACTTTCATCCCAGAACTGCTGAATGAACAACCTACCCCCTGCCACATTCTTAAAAACTCCAGCATGTGAGCATGTGTTCCATGGTGTCTTTCAGATATCTTGGACCTGGCAAAGATCAGCAGACCATATTCCCATGCACTGTGGGATTTCTGCATGTGTATAGAAACGCTGCAATCTTCTGCCAGAGTGCCTCTATGCTCCCCAATGGCGTTTGTGTGCAAATGCACAAATATGCAACACAGTTACAACACAACAAACACACTGCCTTCTCTAAGCCAGAAACCTAAAAATGCTGCTTGGCAACACAAAAAGAAAGAAAACAGGTAAAAAAATTAAAATGTTTAGCTTTTATGTAGGGGGTAAGGATAAAATAAAAAAAAAGCTGCAGTGAGTTTAGTTCCACTTTAACCCCTTGGCAATGAATACACACAAATTGGCAGCCTAACAGAACTGGGCTTTTTTCCATGGGGCCGCTAATTTGCGTACCTGTCTTTCTGCCTGAAGCGCTGCACAGCACGCTCCCAGCACAAAGACCGGGGTGTCACTGAGAGCCCCGGGTCCCATTCTAACGATCGGGACCTGGAACCCCTGATTCCAGGTGACCTGTTTGCTCTGATAGCCTTTGATTGGCTATCATATTGATCAGTCACCGTGAAGTCTACCCCCCTTGTTTTCTCACTCTGAATAGAGGAGAGAGATACATTGTATCTCTTTCTGTCCTTTCAGAGAGAGAAAAAAAAGTGTGTGTAAAAAAATAAATAATAAACAAATATACCTAGATCAAGGTTTGATCTAGGTCTGTGCCAGGGTTAGCGTTTGGGTCAAGGGGCTTTTATTTTTTGTTCTGGGTTTCTGGGCCATACTACGAGTACAAACAACTAACATACACACATATGGTATCGCTGCAGTCATCAGCAGGAAAAATGATTTTGGGTTGTTCATTGGTGGTAAGTTAAGGTAGTAGCAAGAAATATACAGCTAAATTTAAAAAAAAATTTGTTTTTTTTGCTATTTTGGGCCAGTTTTCCTTTGGTAATAGAAGAAAAAAAAAACAGGAGATATCCATTACCATTTACCACCAAATGAAAGCCTAATTTGTCCTGAAAAAATAAGGCATAATCCACCTGGATGCACAAAGTAGTTGTGATCATATGTATGGTTTTGCGAACACATGCCAGAGTTGCATAATTGTGCTTAGACGTTAAGAATTGTTTTACCCTTAGGGATGAAGGGGTTAAGCACTATTAAGGGGCAGATCTCAGCACTGCAATCTCATTCCAAAAATCCTGTATTCTTCATACATTTTAATAGGTATGCCTATTCTTAAGACTGTTATCGAATTGCTATGTATAAAATGATTTGAAC